CCGTGGGCCCCGTGTGAGCTACGGGCCAGCTTGAGGTTCAGGTTTTGCCAGGGAGAATCAGCAGTGGTGGGCAGCTGAACGACCCCTCTTAGCAGAAGAAGAAGAAGAGATTGGATTTATATCCCGCCCTTCACTTGGAGTCTCAGAGCGGCTTACAAACTCCTTTCCCTTCCCCTCCCCACAACAGACACCCTGTGAGGTGGGTGGGGCTGAGAGAGCTCTGACACAAACTGCTCTTTCAGGAACAGCTGTGCCAGAGCTTGTGACTGACCCAAGGTCACATCAGCAGGGACAAGTGGAGGAGTGGGGAATCAAACCCGGTTCTCCCAGATTAGAGTCCGCACACTTAACCACTACACCAAACTGGCTCTTACACACTGATTGTCCTCTGCAATAAAAGGAAAGGAACAGGGTGAGGAACACAACGTTTCCTTGCATTATGTGGCTCAGCCCGGAGACGCCAGCCCTACCAGCCTTGTCTGTGTGTTTCTCTTCGAAGGACATTCCCATCCCGACCTTAAAAGCCTACGCCGAAGCGCTGAAGAGCAACACCTATGTGAAAAAGTTCAGCATAGTTGGAACCAGAAGCAACGACCCCGTCGCTTATGTAAGTGAGACAGATTACCCAGACTAATCTTCTCAGGGCGGCTTTCAGCGGATTGGTTTCCTTAAAAGACGAACTGCAGGAGGAAGAGGGTGCCAAAGTATGATTCTAGCATGGAGCAGCCTTCCCACAACCCGACTGGAAACGATATTTAGGCAGCAGTCCTGCAAACGCCCCGCTAAACGCAAAGTCCAATTGTGATCGGGGCAGCTTCCTTCCGACTAAACACACTTTGGATCTGACTGTCCATTTTTTTTTTTGCGTTTAAGCTTTGGTGTGGTTGCGGTTGGAAAGAGAAGCAGGGAGTGGAAAGGAATACCGGAGGCCTATCCTGCGCTTAACGCACCTTCCCCAGTGAGGGCACAAGCGGGCACAAGTCACTCTGTTCAGATAAAAAGATCCTCGATGTTTTATATGGCTGAATTAGCATGTTTTGAATGTGGGTTCTCTGCAGAAGTCTGCAGGCCCAAATTGGCATATTGAGCTGGGGAGGGGCCGTGGCTCAGAGGAAGAGCTTCTGCGTTGTATGCAGAAGGTCCCAGGTTCAATGCCTGGCATCTGCAGTTAGGAGGAGTAGGCAGCTGTTGAGGCGAAAGACCCCTCTGCTCGGGATCCTGGGGAGCCGCTGCCAGGCTAAGTAGACACTAGTGACCTTAGTGCTGAGGTTGGCTTCTGGTAAAGCTGGCATGGGGTAGCTATACCCTGGGTTGGATCCTACATTTGCCGTGGACAGGAGGGACTTCTGTCCACAGAAGCATGGCTTGTCCCTCCTGCTGCAGCTCAGAATGTTCCCAGGATCTTGTTCCTGGGGGAGGAGAACCCCCCCCCCAGGAATAGCTTTGAAAAGAGTTAGGGTTGCCAAGTCTATTTACCTTGGCGGCGGGGGAGCCTCGCCGGGCTCCGGGAGCTGTCAGTGGACCGGAAGTGACACCGGGCTCCGGGAGCTGTCCCGGGCTCCGAGAGCTGTCGGCGGGCTGGAAGTGACGTGCGACGTCGACACGTTGAGGGCGTGGCCCCGATCGTCGGAGGGAAAACCATAGAGTTTTCCCTCTGACAATCGGGCCAACCCCCCCAACGTGATCGATGTGGTTGCGTCACCTCTGGTGACGCAGCCATGCTGCACTTCGGGGGGCAGAGTTCCCGCCGGGGCCCGATTCCGCGGCGGTGGAAATCGGGCCTCCAAAGCAGGGGTTTACCCGCTCCCCGCCCCCACTTGGCAGCCCTAAAGAGTAGTAGGTAGGTCTGCCACAGGAGGAGGAATTGGCAAAGCCCCCCCCGCCCTGCACATGCAGAAATTTTAGGCAAGATTAAGTCTCATATGCCTAGTTTGCATCTCAAGGCATGTTGACCATGCCTGACATGGCTGAAACAGGGGGAAAAACATTTCCCAGTCAGTGATGTACATCGTGGGCCCAAAAGTAAGTGAGAAGCCAGTTGTCTGTCATGTGGCCCCTCCCACACGCGATGAAGAGCACATGACCACTTACCTGTGCGTGATTAGCAACTGAGGATAGAAACCCACGCCAGTGGTTGGCTCTGCAGCACGTTTCCTGCTTTGTATGCGCAGGGTACCTGGTTTGAGACTAGTGGCGGAAAGTGGCATCAAGTCACAGCTGACCTACGGCAACCCCATAGGGTTTTCAAGGCAAGAGATGAACAGAGGTGGATTGCCATTGTCTTCCTCTGCATGGTGACCCTGGGCTTCCTTGGTGGTCTCCCATCCAAATACTAGTCAGTGCTGGCCAACCCTGCTTAGCGTCCAAGATCTGATGAGCCTGAGCTAGCCTGGGCCATCCGAGTTGGGGCTCAAGGGGAGGTGGGCTTGGCACCTCTGAAAGTTCCGCCAGGGTTTGTTTATCCAGTTCCAATTCTGGATATACGCTATCCAGTTCCAATTCTGGATATACGTTTATCCAGTTCCAATTCTGGTGACGGATATACGCTAAATGCTGAATTGGACCTTAGCTGTTTTTTGTAAGGTTTTGTGCTTGTATTTCTGTGCAGCATAATGTTCTCTCTAATGTAAGATCATGTTGGTTTTCTATTGGCGTTTTTTTCCTTTTGATAAGTATTTTTGAAAATGGGTGTAAAGCAATGGTTTTCTCGTGTGTAAAATTATGGTGGTTTCTTAAATGGTTTTGTCCCTTTAAGATACAGGTCTGGCAAACAGCTGGCTGTCAGCAATTATGGGCTTTAGATATGTATAAGTAAATAGGAAGAGTGAATTTACATTACACACTAATGGATTTAATGAGTGTCACTATGAGATTCTACTAGAGAGTTTGTCAAATGGATTAATATTGTAAGTACGTTATATAACAGTCAGTTTTTTGTACAGACTTGTGTTATTCTCTTGCTAACACTAATAATAGAGTTATATTTTTGTAATCAAATATAGGTATTTCAACGCTACCCACTTTGATAAAGTTATACACGAAACGAGACATAATATGCATGGCTCGTTGGTGTTGATGGCGTTTGAATTGCTTCCAGTAAACTGAATATAGGAAAAAAGAAATTTCTAGTCTTTGGAGACTTTTTTGACATAATACATCGATGTTGTTATTATGGCTATCATTTCTTTAAGAACATCAGTAAAGATACCCAGTATGTCTCTCCTTTTTATTTCACGCCCTTCTTCTGACGACAGGCACTAGCGGAAATGCTGAAAGTCAACAGCGTCTTGACGAGCTTGAATGTGGAATCTAACTTCATTTCTGGATCGGGAATCCTGGCTCTCATAGGAGGGCTCCAGAACAACAAGACGCTGATTGAGCTCAAAATCGACAACCAGGTAACATAAAAATCCATGTTGGCTCTCTTGCACACGCACAAGAAAGGAAAAACAAAACAAGAAAAGCATCCTTGCCTGTGTTAAAAAGAAAGACCCTGTCCTAAAAAATCTAAGTGTTTCACGGGAAGGATTTTAATGAGTGGCATATATCTTCCCAGCTGTGTGCTGCCACTCAAAGAAAGGATGAAGGGATCCTTTGAGCGAAAACAAGTGTAATGCAGAAGGTAAGTACAGAGTTCATTCCTGAGCTTGCTTCAGAGCTAAAATGGCAGATGAGCGTTCCAGCCAATTGGTCAGTCTTGCTTCTCCCAGCCCTAGAAAAGAGCAAGAGTCCAGTAG